ACTGGGTATATATATAATTTATGATTCATATTTTTAGGAGATTGGTTTTTAAGATGACTCTTAAACATTGGTTAGATAGGATAAAAGCTACGATCCTTTCCAGCTTCAAAGTTCTGTGGTTCAGTGGTTTACAACCAGCTTTATGAAATGGTGGCAAGGAAGCATTTTCTAGGAAGCTAAACTTGATTCTGGTCAGGGTCATTTAATATTTATACTTTAAATTCAACCCACTACTGTGATATATGTATACTGTGGTATATTTGAAAATCAGCCTATGTTTCCAACTACTGGCCTTGACTCTGTAGTCACCTGTACTTTTTAACATTAAAAAAATAATTAGCCCTCCAATTCCTTGAGCATTCATTCTTTTAGAACCTTATACTTTTAATTTTTGAAGAGTTCTACCATATCGTTCCTCTTCCTTGAGTTTCACTGAGCATTTCTATTTCTTTTTAGTGAACTGGATGTTCTGTGCTAGGTAGGGTCCCACCCCCCTCTTAGATACTGGAGGGGGCTTTGTGTGCTGTTAAATGAAGAGGTGCCCAGGCATCCAGGACTGTCTGGATCTAGCCTGACAGCCCCTTCTCTCCTCCCGGCAGGGGTGCAGAGGGGACATGAACAAGGATCCGAAGCCACATGGGAAACGAAGCTCTGCTTTATTTTTTAATGCTGGGCTGGTCCCTGCTACCCTGATAACCAGAGCTCTGGTGTATCTCCTACCTCCTCTAAAATGCAAATCTTGAGAGTTAGATTTTCTGAGCACAGGATCTAGGAGCGCTAGGCATGCAGGCAGGAGTGCTGAGAAAGCCAGCAGGACTTGCCCGAGGCAGACCGGGAGTCACCCAGCCCGACTGGCCTCTCTGTAGGGAATCGAAGCCGAGAGGGAATGGGGTAGGGGCGTGTGCTTTGTGACACTTGGCTGCTCTGTCCACTAGCAAACGTGACCCAGTGAAGGTTGCGGCACTTGGACCAGTCAGATGAGTGATGCTTCTCACTAGGTGAGCGCTAGGATTCCAGCCAGGAGCCTGGCCTGGGGAGGATGGGAGTCCTTATTTGAAACATGAAGGGATTAGATCAGTTGATCCTAAAGATCCTTTCTAGTTCCAGCATCTGTTATTCCAAACACATCAGCGTTTGTATTCGGTGACTCCTTTCACTTCTCATTCTGCTACATAGAAACATACACACAGCACAACCTCTTCTGAGGCTCAGGTAGTCAGGGGTTACCTGCTTCCAAAAATAAATTGCATGCTAATAAATGTATGTGTTAAAGCAGGTAAAAGCCCAGACAGCTAACTCAGATTTTTAAAAAAGAGATTGGAAGCTGTTTGAAATTATTTTGCTTGCTGCTTTAGATCTTTTGTTGCTTTTTTTCCTTCTGTACTTTTTATATTCTCTATAATGACCATGTACTATTTGATAATTAGGGGGAAAAGTAAGCAAAGCAACTAATGGGGAAAAAGTTCTCTTTCAAAGGCAAAAAGAGATATGTGTATGTTGAATTATGTGAAAATGGCTACAGTTGAGCACTGAATTTAGTACTGAGCTTCCTGGAAGCCAGGGCACAAAGGGAAACCAGGTGAGGCATGATATTATTGTCAGATAAAGTGAGTATACAATTTCACCCATAGGCTTCAGTGTTTTGGGGGCAGTACATTCTAAGAGGAATATTTATATAAGGAATGTTGAGGCTCATAACAGAAAATGCCTTCAATTGCTGTTTTGTGGAAACTGTGCTGATGTTCTTTAAAAGTTGATATTTTCTGTCAATTCTCAATAGGAGCTGAGGGTGTAATAATGGATCTCAACTCATAGAAGTGTTTCTGTGGGTAGCTGAGCTAATGTGGTCCAGGTAAATTGCTTCGTGGTGATTTCACTTTGTAAAGGAAGAGGATATAAATAACTCAGAAGGTTGTAGATTTAGCATATCTTTCCCAAATATCAGCCGCCCCCGCCAGATTTTTGGCAAGTTCTGGATAGCAGCCAAGCCAAGGGTGAGCACTGTGATGCATGCCTGAGGCTCCAGTATGTTGTGTTGTGATGGGAAAGTGACCCATATAGTTTTCTCAGAGGAGTAGGCGTTCTTTTCACCTCCTATTATAAAGATTAGGGAATTTTAGTTTTTTTCTGCTCCCAAATGGATGGTCTTCCTATTTTTGAATGGCTGCTTCAAGGGAAGGAAATGAGCAAGGAAAGGCAATTATTAAATAATCAATAGTGCTGGTCTGCTGATTAGAAACATGGTACATTTCACCCTAGATGTATTTAGCAGGCGCTCATTTAGTAACATAAGTGGTGACTGTAGGTTAGTTTGACCAAGCATTTTCTCCTCTTATTAAGAAGCACCAGCTCTACAGAAGTATGCACACTGCTTCGTAGCCTTACTGTGAGGATGGAACAAGATTATAGAGATACAGTACTTACTTAGCACAATATATGGAGGTGTACATGACGTAGTGGCACATCGTAATTGGTTAGCAAAAGGCAGAGCTTTTAATACTGATGATAATGAGATGGTGAACCAGTGTGGTCCACAGAGCCCTCAGGGTCAGGGAAACCCTATAGCCATTTTCCTTTTGTGACTTCCAGCAGTTGTGACTTTTACAATTGTATTTCTGAGGCCATTGCTTTGCTGGACAGGTATTCATGCTGAGTCCAGTAAAACTCACTGTGCATTGAATTCATGAAATAATGCAATTTACTGGGAATAAAAGTGTTTTGAAAGAGCACTCAGCAATCTGATGAGGCTGTAATTGGTGGATATAGATGGTGACTCTAATGAAGTTAGTCCTGAGAAGCTAAGTGGGCAAGTGAGGATTTGGGGCATGTCTGTGTTGTGCTTTCCTTTTTTTATACTGAACCTTTTTTGTTTGTTTGTTTGTTTGTTTGGAGCAGAGAAAGGTTTATCTCAGGGTCAAGCAAGGAGAATGGGTGGCTTGTGCTCAAAAAACCCCAGGTCCATTTGTTTTTTTTGTTTGTTTGTTTGTTTTTGCGGCAAGCAGGCCTCTCACTGTTGTGGCCTCTCCCGTTGCTGAACACAGGCTCCAGATGCGCAGGCTCAGCGGCCACGGCTCACGGGCCCAGCCGCTCCGCGGCATGTGGGATCTTCCCAGACCGGGGCACGAACCCATGTCCCCTGCTTCGGCAGGCGGACTCTCAACCACTGCACCACCAGGGAAGCCCTGTTTTTGTTTTTAAGTAGGTATGGCTATAGGATAAAACTATTTTTGTGTCCAGGTCTTTATATTCCCATGTTTTAATTACTAGTTTTATGGATTGCCTGCATCTTCCTTGTCTCCATGAAGGTCCAGTGACCAGACCTGAGGCCTATGTTCTAGGTATACCTGGTTTTATGGTTTTGTACAAAAGTGAAAGGAACCTTTCTGTCTCCTGTGCTCTCCCTATATGTATATATTTGATATTTATTTGTGCTTTTGGTCATGACTGCACACTGGACTCATCTTCAGGGAACCGTTTATAATGAGAACTTTCTGTTTTCCTTTCCTGAGTCATAATTAACAATTTGAAGCCTTTCATTATATAGGTATAGAGAGTGGTTTTTTAAAATTTTGGCTTAAAAAGAAAAAGCACTCTCCCTTCTTACCCTTGGATCTTGCCCACTCAGCAGGCTTTCCTGCAGTTTATTCCTGTTTGGAATGAAGATTTCAATGTGCCCTTCTGGAGGTCATTTCTCAGGGTGTCCTTTGGAAAGTTCTTTGTGGAAGGGAGCCACCAGCGAGCCACAGTACTTCTGCAGAGCACACTGCCCGTTTTTTTTTTTTTTTTCCTTGCGTTATGCGGGCCTCTCACTGCTGTGGCCTCTCCCATCTGCGGAGCACAGGCTCCGGACGCGCAGGCCCAGCGGCCATGGCTCACGGGCCCAGCCGCTCCGCGGCACGCGGGATCCTCCCGAAACGGGGCACGAACCCGCGCCTCCCGCATCGGCAGGCGGACTCTCAAGCACCGCGCCACCAGGGAAGCCCATACTGCACGTTTTGACCAGTGGTGTATTATTCAGTTCTTGAGGTTCTTGACGATTGATCCAGTGTCTGCCATCCATTTCATCAGAAAAGCTGTTCTAAGCCTGGAGTCCTTGACCTCGTGGAGTAGTATGTGAGCTCGAGAGCTGGTCTCGCAAGCCTAATGACCTAACTATAGTAATGGAGCCTGTTGCTTTTGGATGGAATTAAATCAAATCAGTGGGGTAACAATCAGTATCTCCTGCTGATTAGAAGCTCTGTTCCTTAATAAATGCAGCTTGGTTAATAGTCTTTCAAAACATAAGGTTTACTATGACCATGAGGTGGGGAATAATCAAGAACACTTGATGGTGGCAAGGCTGGGAATTACTGTTCTAGGCCAGCATTGTTCTGACTGTGGTCTGCAGAGCCCTAGGCCTCCTAAGTGGTGACTGGGCCCCCTGCAAGGCACCCACTTTGATTCATTTTTATGTATGGGTTTGTTTTTTATATTTATTTTTATTTATTTATGTTTGGCTGCATTGGGTCTTCTTGCTGTGGGCTTTTTCTAGTTGCAACGAGCGGGGGCTACTCTTCATTGCAGTGTGCAGGCTTCTCATTGCGGTGGCTTCTCTTGTTGCGGAGCACGGGCTCTAGTCGCGCAGGCTTCAGTAGTCATGGCATCCGGGCTCAGTAGTTGTGGCTCGCGGGCTCTAGAGCGCAGGCTCAGTAGTTGTGGCGCACGGGCTTAGTTGCTCTGCAGCATGTGGGATCTTCCTGGACCAGGGCTCGAACCCGTGTCCCCTGCATTGCCAGGCGGATTCTCAACCACTGTGCCACCAGGGGAGCCCATATGTGTGGGTTTTAATCTATAATAGCATTTGAACAAAAGGGTTACACTGCTGAAACAAAAGAAAACAAATCCTGCACCTTGTTACAATGGTCTGTCCTGTGTAAGTAATAAAGTGGGATTCAAGAGCAGAAGTTTTTAGCTTCCTCTATAAAGACAAATGAAAATCATGTCTAGAGGCTTTCTCCTGTCTTCCTCTTAGCTTGATCTGAAGCTTTTATTGTGCTCAGTGAAGGACCTCATGCTTCTCCACTTAGCTCTGTGAGGAGAGGGCGGATGAGTGTGTTATGTGTGTTTATCTATTAGATCCACCTTATCTGTATTCATCTACCGAAATGTAATTAACATCATTTGTATCCAGATACACCCCAACTAATCTTGAAGCATATTTTCTTCCATTTTAGCTTCTGGAAGTACGGAGGATTTAAACAACTCCACTGCTGTCCACAGCCCCTCGGTCAGTGGGACAAAGAGTGTCCACGTTGCTACCATGTTCCCCGACGGTGTCCTAAAGATGCTCCAGTCTTTAGCCATCAGTCCAGGACCTCTAAATGAGAAAGAGCGTTTCCCTGAGGACTCCGAAATGACCACAACTTCAGCATCGGTCCATTCTTCACCCTCTGATGCAGGGTGGAGAAGAAACAGTGGAGTAATCAGGAGCCCAGGGGATGGGGAAGTCACTAAGCCATCCACAGAAAATGGAGTTGGCCTTACGTCCTCCAAGGTCTCATGGGAATTTTGGCAAAATGATTCCCCAAGTAAGTCTTCGATCTTTATTTATTACGGACATTTTAAAATTGTTGCATTTTCTCAAGGAATCACTTTAAGACCATTTGCAACCTTTAAAAGAAAAAAAACCACTGTGTTCTTGGATAACACCATCTCCTTTATCTGGTATACCACATTATCTCATTTTGATTTTCATCCTCATGACAATGTTGTGAAATTAGTCAAATAGGTGTCATTCCTCCTGCATTCTTGCAGATGAGGAAACTGAGGCTCAGAGGGTTTAAGTAGTGAGTGTGTGGTCTTTAGCTCACTGACCACAGAGTTGAGAACCCCGCCTTGAGGTCCCACTGCTGGTGCATCTTGTCACTCTGCAGCACCATCTTCAAACTGAGAGCTGGCCCGCTCTTTAAAGCTAGCTTCAGTTATCTTCTGTACAGATCATCTTTACAAAGGAAATGTGCAGATATAAACGTACTCCCTAAATTCATGGTTTTAGTGTACCCCCTATAGTTGATTTTTTGTTTGCTGTACTTCAAAATTAGAATAATCTTTTTTAAAAAAATAAATCTATTTATTTATTTGGCTGCACTGGGTCTTAGTTGCAGCATGTGAGATCTTCGTTGTGGTGTGCAGGATCTTTTTAGTTGTGGCATGCGGGACGTAGTTCCCTGACCAGGGATGGAACCCAGGCCCCCTGCACTGGGAGCACGGAGTCTTAACTGCTGGACCACCAGGGAAGTCCCCAAAATTAGTTTTATTAATAATAGAACTGTCGGGGCTTCCCTGGTGGTGCAGTGGTTGAGAGTCCGCCTGCCGATGCAGGGGACACGGGTTCGTGCCCCTGTCTGGGAAGATCCCACATGCCGCGGAGCGGCTGGGCCCGTGAGCCATGGCCGCTGAGCCTGCGCGTCCGGAGCCTGTGCTCCACAACGGAAGAGGCCACAGCAGTGAGAGGCCCGCATACCGAAAAAAAATAAAAAAATAAATAAAAAATAATAGAACTGTCTTAGAAAAATGCTCTAAGCACAATATTTGGGCACATTCTATTTGATGGACATAACAGCATACTCACTGGCTCATACCACCCCATGTTTTGGGGGAAAGAGAATAAAACACTCAGGCCTGGGGGCTTCCCTGGTGGCGCAGTGGTTGAGAGTCCGCCTGCCGATGCAGGGGACGCGGGTTCGTTCCCTGGTCTGGGAGGATCCCACATGCCGCGGAGCGGCTGGGCCCGTGAGCCATGGACGCTGAGCCTGCGCGTCCGGAGCCTGTGCTCCGCAACGGGAGAGGCCACGACAGTGAGAGGCCCGCGTACCGCAAAAAAAAAAAAAAAAAAAAAAACACTCAGGCCTGTAAGTTACTCTGCTTTGCACATACTGTTTAAAAGCTCACGTCTTCACCAATTTTTATTTTTAGTATTGATCTCTTACTGACACTGAAGAGTTTTGAAATAATTATTTAGAACCTGAAAATGCACGTCAGGTTTCACGTATAGTAAATACTATACAAGGTCCTTGCAAAGGGCACCTTCTCCTAGGGAAGACTCGTGTCTCGGCTGTGGAGGGATCTCTCTTGCATCCATGTGATGTCCTTTTCTCTCTGACACCTTTCAGCCTCCAGAGGACACCAACTCGCCAGCAGCTCTGGTGCGGGGAGTGGCAGCTCCGTGTCTCAGACAGCGACTGTGTCTCGGTCAGTCCCGCGGGCAAGAGGTGGAGAGAGCACTGCTCGCTGGGTCTTGACCGACAGCGAGCCGTTCGCAGATGCGACCGGAAGCTCCACTTCCCATCCTGAGGTTGTGAACGCTTCGGTTTCGACGCGGTTTTCAGCCTCCGCCCCGCAGTCTCGAGGAAGTGACCCAGCGCCTGGTGAGAGGAGCTATTCCGAACCGGCCACCGAGTCCTTGTCTTCATCCTCCTCAGAAAGCCTGGGCTCCTCGGCACCACGCGGGGAGCGCTCCAGTGAGTCTCCGTTCAGGGAACCGCACCCCGCGGACGGTGGAGGGGTGCCTGGGCTGCGATCTTCTGCCGCATTAATGAAATAGCTCCGTGGGCCCCTCATTATTCCCAGGCCATCCTTCTAGCTGTTTGATACCGATATCCCTGTATATCCCCCAGTTTTTTTGTTCCATCTCCAAGATGCTGCTGTTGCCACGTGCCCCTCCCACGCGCAGCTCGGGGACTTCTCTGCCGTGTCCTTCCACCCCATATAGCACCCCCCCCCGCCCCC